GTATCTAGTTCCTTCAATACCAATGTGTTCTTGTAATATGATTTTTTTTTCTGTGTTGTTGTTGTGTACTCAGGTGAATAATATGTTTGCGATGTTACTCTGAGTGCATATCCACACCGGGCGAGCTTGAAAAATATGCCCGGCCACGGTGGGATTCGAACCTACGACCGTGGCCGGGCATATTTTATATTATTCACCTGAGTACACAACAACAACACAGAAAAAAAAATCATATTACAAGAACACATTGGTATTGAAGGAACTAGATACTGTTCCGAAATATCACTTACTCGAACCGTCCTGACCGCGTAGCTCAGTTGGAAGAGCACTTGGCTAGTATTCCAAAGGTCGTAGGTTCGAATCCCACCGTGGCCGGGCATATTTTTCAAGCTCGCCCGGTGTGGATATGCACTCAGAGTAACATCGCAAACATATCTGTAATGTGTTATGTGCAATGTCTGTGACTGTGTAATAAGAAATATCTGAGCTTAGGTTAAGTTTAGCGCGCCTTTCTTGTTCTGAGTGCCAGACTAGTGAAGAAAGGAAAAAGTACAAAGATTTATTAAAATATTACTAGGTGCAGAACAAACCAGTACCTTTGTTGATAAGTTTTATGTACATTATAGTTCTTATTCCAAATATTCCCAAGGACATGTACGAGTATATTATTTCTGCTTTAAATTAAAATCGATAGAAATACTATTTTCGATAGAAATACTACTTTTATCATTAAAGTACAGTAGTTACTATTCTTCCCCTGGCATATGTAGCCACACAGAAATATTCCGTTCACGGTGCATTTCAAAGTCACAACAACTGAGATAAATACGGAAATAAACTGTGGTGGAGCTACTTTCATGATACATATTTTCTATATATACATATACATATACATATACATATACATGCGCGGATACATATTTCATAGTTCAGTAATACTAAGAGTCTAGACGAAAGGCCAATATGCATGGCCTTTTGCGTCCACACAAGCTGCTGTGAAGGAAACTGTGCATTCTTCCCAAAAAAAATGATATAAATACACCGCCAAGTTACATCAGGAAGTCAACAAGTCAGACAGGGCAAGTGCCAGGTACAATATGCTTAGAATTTCGAAGATGATGGAACCAATCATACCGAATAGACAGCAACAATGTTTCGTACTCTCGCATTCTGGCATTTTCTCACCACTTCCTAGGCCAAATAGTTTTGTTGTAAAGCAAACGCACAACTTCAAATTGGCCACAATACTGCAAACTGCAAAAAGGATACCACGCCAGTCGAGTTGGATTACCGAAGACGGGTCTTTTTGCGAAACACCGTACATGTATATGAGCAATACACTCTGTATGTCGTCTTTCAAATACAGCTCGAAGTTCGAGATTACCAGTTCTACCAAAACAAAATGGCGGTTGCAAACCGGAGCTCTAGTTTGATTATCATCACTACAATTAAGCAGTCCGTCTCTTGTTAACCGAGCGTTGTTGATCAGACAGTAACCCGAGTTTTGGCTACATTTCCAATGAAAATCGATGTAATACAAATACACTACGACCATGGCCAAACTACAAAGGGACCCAACACCGCAACTCAAACCAAGTATGCGTTTGACAGCGGTGCTGTTGGTTGGAACTCCTGCAAATTTCCCTTGGTCGCATACTTCAGATCCGAATTCGATCCAATCAAAAACAATATCTGATATATGATAACCAATTAAAGCCAAATAGTAGGCAATCTTTAGGTAACAATGCCACTGCGACATATTCGCGACTTCGATTGTTTAAGGGTTTTGGAATGTAGCGACAGAGCTATTTTGAATGCTGGTGAACAAACAATGACTAATACACAAAGGTATGATACGACTGATATTAAGTTGCTAGATTTCAGAGTTCAGCCGGAAGTCATGATCAAGCCGATTCCAAGAATTTTGTTGCCGCAATGTGTAAAAGAGAAAATGAAACTAAACACCACACAGTAAGCCACAATGCAGTATCTGCCTTATTATAATAAATATGTGAGTAAATTTTATTATTTAGTTCTAACAGTATGGTGAGTATAATAGGCCTATGTGTTCAAATATTTATAAAACACACCTAGAAATGTCGCATTTCAAAAGCCAAAACTCATACGAGTACAAGCATGCCATAAATTCCATGATACAAGTATTTAAATTTACACCTCAATTCTATTATTATATAGAAGAAATTTTACAACTCAATTCTGTTTTCATATTTTTCTGCTAATACAACTAAGGACAGGTAGACTGTATGATAATACTATGTAATAGCATGTACCAATCGTTCACGCCAACTCCTCTGACGAACTGGGCAAAAATTGTGCATTCTTTCCCACGAAAATTATATAAATTCACCAAGTTTAATACATATCAGGACAAGGCAAAAACCAGATACACTATGCTTAGAGCTCCGAATACCAGCGAACCAAAACAACCAACCACGCAGACACGACATTTCCGACTCTCGCAATCAATTTTCTCACCGCTTCCGCAGCCAAGTAGCTTTGTCATAAAGCAAATCAGCAGCTTAAAATTAGCCGCAATACTGCAAGCTGCGAAGATGATATTATGCCAGCCAAGTCGCGTCCCAGATGACTCATACATGTACATGAGTAGTCCACTTTGCATGCCATCTTTCAAATACAGTTCAATGTTTGAAATAATCAGTTCTGTGAGGACAAAACGGCGATCGCAATCAGTGGTTTTAGTTTCATGATCATCACTGCGCTTAGACGGGCATGTAGTAATCACATTCACAACGTCTTCAAGTTCAACTTGGTGGTACTTGACCGATTTCGAGTTCCTGGCAGACCGACACGTTTTAATACATTTCCAATGGAATTTGATGTAATTTCTATACACATACAAAACCATAAACAGACTACAAATGGTCCCAGAAGCGCAACTAAAACCGAGTATACCTTTGATAGCATCGCTCTTGGTTGAGATTCCGACAAATTCGCCGTCAACACATACTTCATATACGAATTGGACCCAATCAAAAACAAAATCAACACAGTGATATAGAATTAGAACAGAATAGTACGCAATCTTCAGATAACAATGCCACATATTCGCGCCTTCGATTGTTCACTGCTTTGGAACTTTGACATGTGTCAGAGCTATTTTGAACGCTGGTAAACAAACAATGACTAACAAAGGTATTTGCTATTAAGTTGCTCGATTTTAAAGTATCAAGTACCCTGGTTCCAGAGGTTCTTGTACCGCCGTATTATAAATTACGTAATTTGTATCAAGGAACGGCGAACCTCTGGTGGTACGCGATGCGAACCCATGCACTTCCTTTGCCTTTGGTACAAAATTTGTACCAAGCACATGATTGGTTAGTTATATAATTAGCAGTCACATGAAGTGATGTGATTGGCTAAACAAAAAAAACTGTTTATAAATCACAGAGAACATGAATTAAAATGCTTTACTTAGTGTGAATTATTTGAGATTAACTTAGTTTGTTCCGCTACGAACCTCTGATATATGAACTCACTGTTTAAACATTTTTGCGCTGAAGAGGAGCTGCCATCGCGCAATGACTTGAGCGGCATCACATCACATGTTTACTTTATTAATATTTGTAAAATATAAAGTGTTGCTTAATTATAGTTAATACTACGCGACAAGCAAGGTTTTAAATTTTGGTAATAACGCTTTAGTATGAATATGTGGATAGTTTTCTTAGATCTAACTAAGAGTTGTAACTAAGATCTAACTAAGAGTTATTAATAAAACAATATTTATTTATTAAACTGAAATGACAATACAAACAAAACTTATAATGCAGTTTTTAACACGACAATTAAACAAAACAACCGCTACAAGAGGAGAACAGCAACAGCAACAACAACAACAACAACAACAACAACGACAACAATGGCAACGACGACAACAAAAATAGCAACATATATGTACAGTAACTAAAATAATGAATGTACTGACGTGCTTACCTGGAATACAGGCCGATTTGGAACTTTTGGTCTAAATTTCAAGGTACTCGGTCGACGTGGGACCTCCGGTTTGGGTTTTCTTAATGGTTTGTTAACTTTCCCATTATTTTCATTTTGATCATCGGAGTCAGGAGTTGTTACACTGTAGATGTGGTCTTCAGGTGTGATCACAACGGACTTATTTTTGTCGGTGGTCGGGAAAGTGGGTGCATCGGACTCGGGGGTCGTGATAGCGGAGGCGTTCGGGGTTTCCTGGCGGGATGGTCCTTCGGGCGGAGTTGGTAGGGGCCCAAGTTCGGGTAACTTATTCAGACTAATTTCTTCCTCTCGCTCCTTGGTAAGTTGCGACAAAGATGGTTGCAAGTAACCACTTCGTGGAGGTTTTTTTGGCATCGACAATTTTTCCGTGCCATCAACCAAAGTTTTCGAAATCGGAAAATTATAATAAAATTGTTCATCTTGTTGGTGTGCATCCACTATTGGTAGTTCTGTGAACTCCGGGTGAAAACTAAGTTGCTCCATTGATTCCTCGGGATCTTTCGTTGTCAGCTCGCACTCATCGTTATTGGATTCGGCCTCTTCCGTAGCAGGTTCGCACCTAACCGCTGAGGCATCGGAATCAGCAATTTCGCCACAATTATCGTCGGTGGCGAGAAATGAAACAGTTTTTTGTTCACGGTTCGAGTAGTCAGTAGTTAATCTAGTCTGATACAGGCTTGTGAAGTCGGTCGGTGGACTAATAGTAAGTTCTTTCTTTGCCGCCTTTTTCGTACCTGGTATTTTTAAGTTACTAAGTGCCTTTTTTAAAAATGCACCAGTTTTTGATGCCTTTGTCGTATCTTCTTTGTTCTTTTCATCAACTGGTTCACCAGATGAAACCGTTGCAGGAGTGTTTGAATTTTGAGCAGAACTTTCACTGCTAGTCTTGTCTTTACTGAGAGATTCTACTGGACGTCGGCTGAACGGCGATTGTAAAAGTGAGACAGTGAGCGAACGTTTCAGTGCTATGGGTGAGTTTGTTTTAGCGTTGTGGTTTCGAGGAAACATCTCGGAAACAGGCCTATTAGAGGAGACTGAAAAAAGTATAAAAGTACGGTGTGTTAGTGAAAGTTAGATAGCAAAAAGAGCGATCACTATACTATATTAAATGCTATTTATGGAAAACGGCAAATCGTCCAGCAAGCCTGTCGGCTTCGCTGAAGACAAGATGACGAACAAAGAGATCCGAAGATTTAGGGTGGTGGACATTGCAAAGGAGGTGAGAGAAGCAAGATTGATATTTTACGGACATGTAATGGAAGAGAGCCAGCCAGTTAGAGATATTGAGTAGTTGATAAAGAATACATGTACGTAAACATCCCACAGCTTGTTAACAAGATGTGTTCGGACTGCTTGTTCCCAGTTGCTGCGAAGTCTGGAACAAGTTGTTATCATCTTGTAACAAGGTTAATGAGGCCAACAGCCTCGCAGACAACTTGTTCCAACAGGTCATATCATCTGCACGTAACAAGTTGTTAGTTAGCAAGTAAACAAGCTCGTAGCAACTTGTTACGAACAACATTAACCTTGTTGGAAACAACGTGCAGAAAGTCTGTTATACCTTGTTATAACTTGTTTCAGATCCATCCCATGTGTATAAACAGAAGACGAGAGAGACCGAGGAAGATGGATGGACAGTGTAAAACAATATCTAAATTATTGACGGTGGACATGACAAGGGAGGAAAAACAATTGAATGGAGGACAAAGTCGAGCATGTTTCACTCTAGGACTAAAGCGGAGTTAAAGAAGAAGATATAATGGACTGGTCATAAAGTAACTGCTAGGGTGGGCTGGAGGTAAATCACAAATTTTGCCAATAAGTTCGGTGACCCATCTTAGGATGTAGATAAAAATTTCAAAGCCCATCTAATCTTACAAAAAAATTTTCATGACCCACCCAATCTAAATTGGGAAAATACACTTTTATAATAAAAAAATTGCAGGTATGAACATTGTAAATATACATGGCACTGTATTGACATACATAATTCCACCAAGCTTGACCAACACATTGATACTGAGCTGCTCTCCAGTTGGTTGTATTTGCTGTGATTCGACCACTTCTTGTTGTTGTATAGACAAGGTACTGGCTTCAATAGCATCATTTGCATTTGATAATTTGGATAGTTTTGTTCACTTTTATTATTAATATCTTTATTTTTTGAAGTAGACATGCATGGGTTTTTGTTTGGTGACCCAACCGTGGACATACAAAAAAATTGGCGGCCCATCGCAACTGCCCAAAGATTTCCCATGACCCATCCCAAATCACTCAGCCCATCCTAGCAGTTACTTTATGACCGGTCCCTAAATTCATACGTCAGAAATATGCTTACCTTTTGTAGCTGGTGATAAAGATCGAGGTGGTGGTGGTGGCGGTGCTGAACGCATTGGTCGAGCATTTTTGTGTGGTGACGTTGAGTTGCGACGAGGTTTTGAACCACGTCCGCTTGGCGGACTCTTGCAACGGGATACATGGCCACTGTCTGTAAAAGAAGGAGAGAATAAAATGATTTACCTGTGTGGACTCCAAAACCTTAGGGGAACTGAACTATATTATATCAGGACGATTATTCCATTGCGCGCGCTGTATTAGCCGAATCTCATTAAATAATTAAATCAATAATCATGTCAATACAATACGCTTAACAAATGTATAGTAAAATGTGATTATGTGATAGGATTTTTCCGTACAAGGACAAGAATCCATTACAAGTATCACTAAAATCTTCCCGGTCCTTAGCGGGGTAAAATGCTAAAACATTCCAAATTTTTGATGCGCTGTTGAGGAAAGCATTAATCCATTATATAATAAAACCCAACCCAGCATGCATTATGTTTCTACTGTGTAGTTTCTCTATCTGTAGTGCCAAATAGGTCATTCACTATCGTATGGTTTCTCTATTTTAAGGTAAACTTTAGATATATATAGATCGTCATTTAAATAGGAAATCTCATCCTTTCGTGCACAGCGAGGGTGTCCAAATCTCATTCATTGCTTGGTGTGATTCCCAGGATAATTGCCAAAATTGGTCAGAATGACCACATTGTTATTAGGATAAGGAATTTCTAATAAAGAGGCCTTTCCTATCTTAGAATATGGAATTCTCATCTAATATAGCGGCTTTCTCAGGATGAGGAATTTTAATCTAATAAACCGGCCTTCCGATCTCAGAATAGGATAACAGGTAAGAAATTTTAATCTAATCAATCGGCCTAAATTAAAGCAAGTCCAGGAACTGGCAATTCAAATATTTTGGATTTCGTTTTTACTTTATGTACTTACTAGCAGTAGTTAAACTTTTAATACTACATTTATAATAATTCTTCCCAGAGCTTGCTAGGCTTTGAAATAGCTTGGCGCGTCTCGGACTGTAGCATTTAAAACTGTCGATGTCAATATTATTCAAAGTAGAGGGCATATATAGTATAATTCTATACTGCAAATTCTTGGCCGTTTTCCACTTTCAAAATAGTTTAAAAAGATACAATTAACTTTAGTACACTTAACCACATGTTCTTACAAAGAGAGAACTCTATTGTGCGCTCATGCATGCATGGTTGTAAGATAAAATATCACCACTTGAATTTTTGGCAAGATGCTAAGTTTTGTTTGCCATTGAGCCAAGGTCAAGGAACGAATGTATTGTATAAGAACGGGCAGGCCAGAGCGTTTGACGTATTTATCAATATTTACAAAGCAGACAATTTATACGTACTGCGAGCGTTGCAGGATACAAGTTATACCGCCGTGTGCACTTTTGGCAAGGTGCAGTCTTTTGTCTGCCCAAAAACCTGCTGAGGTTAATCATTATGTGGGAATGCATTGTGTAAGGGGCACTTGCGTCATTTAGAACATTGTCATTAATCACTATGCATAAATGGCCAGATAATTTGCCTTATGGCTAAATTGGGGGTATTTACCATGATCTATTCTCTAAATCATTGGTGTAAAATCGCGAGGCCAGGATATCACGCAGCGGAGAAAATACCGCTAAGAATTTCAGCAATGATGTGTAATTATCAAACCAATTTCCCTCCAATACCTTATAACTTATTTTAAAATTTTAAAAGCCTCAAAGGTAGATTATGCACGTTTTTTACTTACAAAAAGATCAAGAATTTGTTCATTCAAGTTCCAATTTTTAAAATGTTTATTATATCTAATATTCATTTCATAAAATAGCCCAAGTTCTAATTTGATCATTTAAACAGCAGGGCTGCAATTTACTGTCGGACATCGGACAATGTCCGACTAAATTTGGCAAATGTCCGAGCAAAAGTAATTTTGATCGGACATTGGTCCAATCAAAAAAATATATTATCACATTATACATTTTTTTGCTGTGACAAAATCCGATTGCAATTTCACTCAATATGCATTTTGCGATAAAATTGAAGAGGCATTCTAGCATTTTACTTAACGTTGCGCCGGAATGGCTATACATACTTGTCTCGTGACTTATATATATCTTGTGACGTATATGTGTCCGACCAAATTCAAGTTATGTCCGACCAAAATTAAGAGTGATCGGACAAATGTCCTGTCAAGTCAAATATTTATTTGCAGCCCTGAACAGTGAAACAAAATCTGCGTTTCGTTCTTTATTTCTTTTGAATCGCAAAACTCACGTGCTCGTATAGGCTTTCTGGTATTTTGGGTTAGGTGTGTACGTATGCATGAGAATGAAATTATAGACAGTCAACATCGTTGACGTATATCAATACGGAAGGGAATCAGTTAAAGACTGAAAAATACGCCCAAGCCGAACGGAAACTCGTTTTCGAGAAACTATCGCGACCGAATTTGCTTTTTGAAAATATTACTTCGAAATTGGTCGCTCGCCAAAAATGGCGTCGGTGTTGGACTTGACCTTCAAGTCCTTAGCCAGTGTTCATTGTAATATTAAATTCTAACTATCATAAATATTATTTAATACAAAGGTGAAATATGGAGCATGTCAATTTTAAAGAGAAAAGGGGAATAAGTAGCATATTTTTGCCAAATTAATAAAGTAACGTGATGTTTCGCACCAAAAAATATACAACTAGAAAAAGCTGTTACTGCATGTGAATAGCTGCTAGTCAACAGAATTTTTCAGGCGACTAGCTTTTGATCGGATGTTCTTCCCTGGCTTAAGAAAAACCTTTTTATAACAGATTAATTTTAGAAGCTGGAAGATCCGTTTCGACTTCCGAAGTTCATAAGTGTGTCTGTCTAAAGAATATTCGATATTTCGTGTGTTCTGGCTGGTCGAAGGAAAGAGAAGCGACTCATGACGTACATATAACTTGATTATAATTAAATTTCAAGAGCTCTTGCGTCAAAAAAAGGAATACATCATAAAAATTGGCAAAGGTTATTTTTTTAAGACAGATGTTTTTGCATTGCACATATGAGATCGGTGTAAATCAGTATACTTATACGAGATAATCTCATTTCCAAATAGCATAGTTTAAATTAAATAAAGAAATATAATTTTTACTTATGCATAGCACCTTACTGTATTTTTTAAAGTTGTCGATACAAGGGTCTTGTTTATTAATATTTACAAAGACGTAAAGTGCAGGAACTGGAACCATTATGACATCACTGTGACGTCACTGTTTTTGAATAAAGAACTTCTTGTAACTGTGTCATATACGCACAGGACATACACCTTTCCCAATAATTAAATTGAGTGTATTTTTCGCATTTCAAGGGTATTTTTCATGCTTTTAAGGATTATCATACATATTTACACGAAATTTTCGGACTCTTACATATCTTAGACTTTTACGGACTTATATCGTAACCGTATATTATATATATGAGCTTCTCGCGGTAGTATATTACCTATATTTATACGATCATAAGAAATATGAATCCATGTACTATAAATAATGTATGTCTTATACCATATATATATATAATTATATATTATGTTTTATTATTGTTCGCTGGGTAATATGATAAGGAGAAAATGTTCTCGAGCTTCTATAATTTCCAGACAGCGGCTTGGTTTTGAATTTTTTTTTCGATCTAGTAATGCGAAGGTCGCGGTACACGCGGGTTCAAATTTTGACCCATATGAAATGACGAAATACTCACTCGAGAACATTTTCTCCTTATAGTTATAGTTCTTGTATTATTTAAAGCACGCGTAGGAGTGTTTTATATCTGATAAAACACGACTAAAAGTGCTTTAAATGGCTTAAAAAACGACTCATCTTATATGAGTTCATTGGCGAAGTAATTTTTAAAATAAACTTTGTCTAAACCGAGAAAATCAAAGCTAAAGTTTATGTAAATTAACATGATTTTTTATCACATATAAAGATACGACACGCTTATGAAATTTCTTTGTGTTTTCCTCCTGAATTATTAATGAGTTTTTTAAATATATATATATATATATATATATATATATATATATATATATATATATATATATATATATATATATATATTAAGATGAAAATGTTCTAGAGTGTGTATTATATAACTTCCATACCCAGCGCAAGCAGAAAGATGTTGTCTGCCGCGGCTGGGTCTCGAACCCGCGACCTTCGAATTACTTATATATATATATATATATATATATATATATATATATATATATATATATATATATATATATATATATATATATATATATATATATATATATATATATATATATATATATATATACACCAAATATGTATTTAGAATCATATATGAGTAGAGTGCTCGATATACCGAAGTATAGAGCTAATATAGATAAAGATAAAATAAACCTGGTTTACTTCATAAGATTTATTCACTACAAACTTGTTTCGTATGACAAGCAATGCTTGCCACACTCATCAGGTGAATTGTCATACGAAACAAGTTTGTAGTGAATAAATCTTATGAAGTAAACCAGGTTTATTTTATCTTTATCTTTATATATATATATATATATATATATATATATATATATATATATATATATATATATATATATATATATATATATATATATATAGAGAGAGATATATATATATATATATATATATATATATATATATATATATATATATATATATATAT